AGTTTCCTGAATGCATAAAATATTTATTTTTCTATGAATCATAATATCTATTAATTCTATTAATTTACCTATAAGGGTACCTATATTCTAAGTTCATATCCTAATTTTAGCTTCATAGATTAGCCTCTTTGCCTATATTCGTTATTGATGTGGGAATCCTTGCCTATTTAACACTCCACCCGGGCGCCGGAGAAGAAGAAAGGAGAGATCAAAAAAATCGTAATCTTATCGCCTACCTCAAATTATTATAGCATTGGTCTATTCATTGCTTACAATCGATTTTGGTCTAAGTTGACCGATATATGCCTAAAAGGTAAAAATTGAAATAAAATTAAACTATTTATATACCAAAGTTATTTCAGGTGGTAGACTTTTTTTAATTCCTGCTGCTGTGAGGATTTAGTCGAGCTGTTTCAACTGCTTGTGCGGATTGCAGTGGGGCTGATCATCGACTGTTTTCTATATGTTTTGGCTTGTATTAGCTTTTCTTTCGTCGACTATATACCTGGTTGTACATATTTGGTGGTTTTAGAAAGATCTTCCTCAGTCTTTACCCATTCTTCCCATTTATTTTGTATAATTGTAGGATTTAATTGTATAAACTGCTGTTTAACACAGTATCATGAAAAGTGCCGGATTGCTTTAGTACTACGATTAGTGTCATGGTATTAAACTGCCTTTAAGCAGTTCTATCATACAATAATTTCTAAGATAAATAAAAGCAAATTTTTTTATTCATAGGCTACTGTATTCCATTCTCAATGGATTAAGTTGGCTGAGTTGGGACTTGGGAATAAAAAAAAAGAATAATTGAAGAGTCCATTTTGAATCTTTCGATCTTTAAAGCTCCCAAGGAAGTCTTTTGTGATTTCTCTTGACTTTTCAGAAGATTTGTGATTCTTTTTAGCTTGCCAAAAGTTTTATTTGATGCCAAAACTTTGAGAATCTTCAATTTAATCTCTTTTTTTATTCATATTTTTGTCTACATGTAAGACGATATTTAGTCTTGACTTTGATGATGTTCATAATTTTTTTAGATATGAAGCTTTAAGATCTTCATGGTGCTCTTTTCTATCCTTTATTGGTGGATTTACTAAAGTTCTTCTATCTTCAATATCAAATCCTTGATTTCCTCCCAAGAATTTTCTCTTCTTTCATCTTTTAGAATGCACTTGTGATTTTTTATTCGTTCCATCGATTTTTCCTTTTGAACTTCAACCATGAATATACTAGTTTTTTTGTTTTGTTGCTCTGAGATCACTTAATTCTTCAAGGCTAAGGGCTTGGAACAACTTCGAAAATATTCCACCGATTCATGCTAATTAATCTTCTATCCAGCTTCTTAACGTAGAACGTACGTCAAATTACATATCTTAATTTTATTGCATCCATGGAGCTGATACCAAACTAATTTAGACAAGGGGAGAGGAAAATTGATGTGGTATAGGGTAGAACTAATTTAGATGAGTAGGGTAAAGGGAAAATTGATGTAATTAGGGTAGCTTTCCAGGAGGGTTGCAGTTCACATGTTTATTACAAAAATATTTTTGCCTATCTTTTATTATTTCATGACAACTGTAGCCTTAAAGTGATCTTGTAGCTTTCCTTAATCAGTGATTATGAAGTCGATACCCTTATGTAGTATTTCATAAAATACAACTTGCAATTCTACCTAGTAATGCTATATAGATTTCTCACACTGACTTATGACTGCTTATTTACTTGAGCGCTATGTTGCATCGATACGGATACAGCGATACGGATACGACACGATACGGATATGGGACACGCCAATTCTAAAAATACATGATACGGATACGGCGCGGATACGGCATTATAATATATAAATAATACATAAAAAATAATAAAGTAATCAAAGTGTAATATTTGGAATGACAAAAAAATTTGAAATAAAAGTAAGCATTAAATATTTAAATGTCTAGTACAACAATAAAAACAAGAAGATAAATTGTCCAGCACATGAAATTTCAACTATTCAATAGAAGGAATGATAGGATTAGCTTCTTCAGTGGTTTGTCTTTGAGTTTCTATATCATCTTCAATAAATATCATAGCTTCTAATTCAGGCTCATCAAGTGAAAGATTAGCAGTTTCTAATATTCCCATATCCTCAAGAGATTCAAATTCATCTCCAGCAACATCCCACATCCTGTTGTCTCCTTCCATATAAGTTGGAGTTTTCCTTGAGAGAAGTCAAATGTTCGTATGCACATAAACTAAGTCTTCAGTCCGTTGTAGAGTAATTTTATTTCTCTTCATTGATTGGATGAACGAGTATGTGCTCCTATTTCTTTCACAACAAGATGAGGATGAAACTTGGTCAAATAATTTTATGGCGATTGTTTGAAGTAGAGGCGCTGAAGCTCCATGTATAATCTACCACATTTTCGGATCAATTCTCCACCTATCACGCAATGACTCTTAGTCACCAAAGTCCTCTAAATAACCAAAAAATTTAGTAAGCTCAATATTGACACTTTTTCTCTCCTCATTTGGAAAATAACGCTTCAAACATGTCTTCCTCATATTTGAAATTTCTAAATCTTTTTGTAGAGAAATTCTTTGAGGATCTTCTTGAAGCCATTCTTTAGTTGAATATCTTAAAAAAATATTAAAATGAAATAATACAAAAATGTTGAAATTATTAAACAACAAATTATTAGTTAATAATGAAAAATATTGAAATTTATTTGGGATTCAGTGAGTGAGCCAAGCAATGTAAAGGTGTATTACTTTTGCTCCACCTATCTTCTAGAATAGCATAAATAACATCCCAGAAGCTTGAGTCTTCATGAAGTGCCTTCCTCTCATGTCTATATATAATTTCTTTTACTTTGGCAAGCATTGAATCCCACATTTCATAAATGAGATATAAACATGACTTATCCATATCAGCTACTCTCAACATCTCATAAATTGGATATGCGAAATTTATGATGTATTCAATCTCATCCCACCATAAATCATCTAAAAGTTTCTCCTTTATATATCTAGCCTTTCCAACATCATCTTCTCTATAACAGGACCATTTGTCACTGATTACCATAGCTTGAAGAACATTTTTTATTTTTTTGAATCTTCTCAACATCACTATAACCGAGACAAATCGAGTTTCAGCAACTGCAAGCATCTTCAAATTAGAGAAATCATTGAACATAGAGAGTCTCATGGAGTGATTCATAATAAAATTTTTAATTACAACTGCATCTCCAGCAATCACTGTTATCCAATGACATTCATTGTAGGGGATTTCATTTGCCTCGGTATTCTTAGCTGCACAAATATATGATAGCTATCTGTTACAGCCATGAAGTTGATAAGTGGTCTTCTTTGTGGATCTGTCTACCCATCAAAAACCAAAGTAACTCCTTTTTCCTTCCAAACTCCTCTAGTAGGCTCGAGCAACTTCTCAATATTATCCCTCTCTCTTTGCAAGAACTTTGTTCTAATGACATTATATCCAGGTGGCACATATCCTGCAAGATTATTATTGCATGCATAGGTAAAGACATTCTTGTAATGTGAATTTTTTACTAGGTTAAAAGGAAGTCCAGCTGAGTAAAACATTCTAGCTATTTTCCCATCTAGTTGTTCTCTCATTTGTAAATTAAATGCTTACTCCAAAGCACTATCTTTAACATGTTTTCTTCTTTTTGTTTCAAATCCCTCCATCCGAAAAGGCCCCTTATTAACAGTATTATCATCACTTCTAATTGAAGAAGATGATGAAGGATATGAAGTATGAGTGCTTGGAAGTAGAATATGTTTTGGAAACACTTTTTTACTGCTTTGCTCAGCTTCACTGACTTTTCTTTGCAATTCAGCCATTTGTGATGAGCTTATACTCGAGCATACTTTAATTTCATGACCACTAATCTTCAACAAATGAGCTTTCACTCTATAATATGATCCTTTGTATGTGGCATTACAAAAATTGCATTTGAATGCAATATTGCCACCCCCTTCTATCGTTTTATCTATTTTTGTCACATAACCCCACAGAGGTTTGTTATCTTCAATAATTGTCTCTGATGGACCATCAGTAGACCTAATTCCCACACCACTAGAGCCTAAGGATCGACACAAATTAATTAACATGAATTTGAAACATGAAAATTTTTAATTAGAAGTGTAGATATGTTGTGCCTCTACCGGGGGTCCAAGGGGGCGCTGCCCTCTGGAGGGGTTCGACCTGTACTGCTTGGTACCGAGCAGTACCGAGCAGTACCGAGCGTACCGAGTTCCTGTACCGAGCAGTACTGAGCAGTACCGAGAGGTACCGAGTACCGAGCAGTACCGAGCGCCGAGCAGTACCGAGCATAGAGAGGTACTGAGTACCGAGCGGTACCGAGCCTACTATTAAGAAAATGAAGAATGAAGAAAATGAACCTTCAATGCTCACGTCGCCTTCATTGTTCGTGTTGTCGAGTCGCTCCGTCGACGAAGGTTTCTGTCGGCTTTAATGCTCTCGTCGTCTAGCCTCTTTGTCGACGAAGGATGATCCTGTCTGCATCTATGCTCGCGTCATCGAGCCGCTCCTTCGATTATAACAAAGAAGACGAAGACCTGTGCGTAAACGAAAAACCTAGTTCGCCGAAATGTTTAAGCCGCATAAATGAGTAGGATATCGAGCGGATTGCCGAAATGAATAGGGCAAATTGCAGCTCTATTTTTTTTAATAGGACACGCGTATCCGATCAAATTTAAATAATATTTTAATTGGACACGGCATAGCCGTATCCGACACGTATCCGTGCCGTATCGGAGGCGTATCCGTATCTGACACGTATCCGATACAGCATGCCTCATAAATAGGCGTATCCGTGCAACATAGCTTGAGCGTTGAAAATTAGCTAATGAAATATTTCCTTACTAATCACTTATGTTGGATAAAGATCTAAGTTTTCCTTAATTTTTTATTTGAAAGTCTATATTTTAACTTTGTGAGCAATGAGTTGAACTGCATCTCCTGTACTCAGGAAGAGGGATCTGCATATGGGCAAACCAAAGAAAAAGGAGGTTGGAAATCCTTCTATAACCTCAGAAGAACCCCTGCCGGTAAAAAAGAACCGCAAAAAGCTAAAAGGTGCAAAAAAAATTGCGAAAAAGTCTTCGAAGGGAAAAAGCGAAATATCTGACAAGTTAACTACCAAGGACATCAAAACTGTCAAGGAAATTGCTATTAAACTAGATGGGAGTACCCAGGTGAATGAAAAAGGGGAAGCCAGCACTAAAGGAAAAGAAGCTAGCACCAATGAAACGATTGGTGGGTTGATATTCATGTGCAATGGTAAAACTAAACCTGATTGCTTCCGTCACAAGGTCTTTGGCCTTCCAGAAAATAGGAAAGACTTTGTTTTTCGTATTAAACCTGGCACAAAACTTTTCCTGTATGATTTCGATTTAAAAGTTCTATATGGCATCTTCAAAGCATCATCATTTGGTGGGATCAAACTTGAGCCTGCAGCTTTCAATGGTTTCTACCCTGCGCAGGTTTTGTTCTCTCATGTGCATTTCATTATTCTGTTGTTTGTTAGAAAGTGACAACACAAGTGCTGTTGCCTTCTGGTTTAAAATTTGGATTCCAGGTTGGGTTCTTTGGTTACCTTTCTGTAATTTTAAGACTAATGGGGATCAATTGACGTCAATCTAGGTGCGTTTTGAGGTTGAGCGTGCTTGTGCCCCTTTACCTCTTCACATCTTCAAGCATGCCATCAAGGATAATTACACTGGCATCAGAAATAAGTTCAATATAGAACTATCCGTTGAGCAAGTGAGTAGTCCTTTAAAGAAGACATCATTATCTTCATTTTGCAACATATCTCAAAAATTGCTTTCAGATTTTTGTTGTTTCCTGCTTTTCACTGTATTTTGAAGCTTTTATTCTTCTCATGGTATCTTATAGTACGTTGACTAGATGCTTATCTGCCATTACCATTTCACTTTTGTGTAAAAGCTTCAAGTTAGCAATTGCAACTTTTGCTGATAATGATTTTTATCAGCTAGCAAGGAATAGTAATAACCCCAAGACTTAATTTAATTGTTGTTAGATGAAATTAAAGAAAAGTGGAGAGGGGTAACTTTTTTAACTCATTTTTTTATTTTTTTGTTGATTAACTAGGAATTTTTTGAAATTTTATCTTATGAAAGTGGGTCAGAAGAAAAAACTTGAGAGTTCACCTCTTCTTTGGGCTGATGCTCAGTTTTTTTTCATTTATGCTTTTATGTATGGGTGTCAAAATGAGTTTTTGGGTCTGGTTTGGGTCCAACCTGAAACTGACCCACTCTCAATTGATCCAACCCGAAGCTGACCCGATTGCACTAAGGGTAAAAAATTTGAATCCGGATCTGACCCGGCGTGAGCGTGAGTTGCGTGAGCGTAGAGCGGGCTGCAGGATGCAGGGGAGAGGCGAGCATGGGTTGAGCGCGAGTTGCGCGATGCTGTGTGGGCAGTGGGTGGGATGCGGTTTGGGTGCGAGCTGGGAATGCGGTGCCTATGCGTCTATGGGCGCAGGTCCGTTTGCCCAGCGAGATTGTGTGAAGAGTGGAGCGGGAAGTGCGAGCGGGTCATTCCGTGTCATTTCCAGGTTAGCGGGTTGACCTGGACCCCTAGGGGTGTCAATTTCGGGCCACGGGTCAGGTTTGGGTCGAACTCGACACTATTCGGGTCAACCGGAACTCGACGCGCTTCAGGACCGGGTCAACCCGACACGACCCGAATGACCTAGTGTTAATAAAAAACTACTAGTTTTCAGGTCCAAAAAATTGAGTCAATTTTTGCTTTTCGAGTTAAAAACGGGTTAATCTCGGATTGTCGGGTCAATCTCGGGTTGTCGGGTCAAAAAATAGGTTTTTGGGTCAAAGGGTCAACTTGAACCCGACCCGATTTTTGAAACGGGTCAAATTGTTGAACCGTTTTGGGTTCGGGTTGACCATAACATGAATTTTTCGGGTTGGGTTCGAGTCGGGTTTTCGGGTCGTGTCAAATATTGACACCCCTACTTGGACCCAACCTTTCAAATGGGTCGGAAATCAGAACCCAAACCCGAACCCAAACCCGGCCAGTTTGTTAAACGGATCGACCCGAAACCGGATTTTTCGGGTCTTTTTTTTTTTTTTTTTCGTTTCATAAATTTTCAGGACCGGGTCAACCCGACACGACCCGAATGACCTAGTGTTAATAAAAAACTACTAGTTTTCAGGTCCAAAAAATTGAGTCAATTTTTGCTTTTCGAGTTAAAAACGGGTTAATCTCGGATTGTCGGGTCAATCTCGGGTTGTCGGGTCAAAAAATAGGTTTTTGGGTCAAAGGGTCAACTTGAACCCGACCAGATTTTTGAAACGGGTCGAATTGTTGAACCCAACCGTTTTGGGTTCGGGTTGACCCAAACATGAAATTTTCGGGTTGTGTTTGAGTCGGGTTTTCGGGTCGTGTCAAATATTGACACCCCTACTTGGACCCAACCCAATTTTTCAAATGGGTCGGAAATCAGAACCCAAACCCGAACCCGGCCAGTTTGTTAAACGGGTCGACCCGAAACCGGATTTTTCGGGTCCGTTTTTTTTTTTTTTCGTTTCATAAATTTACAAGCAGTTTTTAGGAAATGATTTTTCTCAACTTTGTTTCTTTCTAGCTTGCTTTCCATTTCGTAGCCATTTCCACTATCACCTTCTAAAACCAAATGCAGACTATCTGATTAATGCAAATCTACAATTCCATTATCTTATGATGGTTTACTAACTTTTGTTAATTTCCATTTTAAAGGTAAACGAGCTCACAAAGTTATTCCCATCTTTACCCCCGCAACAACCAATATTTAACGAGGATGCTCCTGTGCCCCAACCAATCCAACCTCTAGCCCCAGTTCCAACTCCAGTCCCATTATTATGGCCCACAATGGTTCCCTTTGATGGTCCAGCCCCATTGCAGAGGGAGTTTGTCCAAGCTCCGGTCGGTGCCGTGCCACTCGATCCCCGGTCTTTGAATGAACATGAATATATAAATTTCGGCTTAAATCCAAACCAGTTCTTGGTCTCCCCTGCTACAGCCCCAGATGTATACACTCATCCTTATATAGCAGTAGGACCCTATGAACCCAAAATAAACTACCATAATGATCCCTTGCGGCCATTAGTCCCCGTTCAACAAGCTCATGTCAGATTACCATATGCTCTGCCCAGAATAGGCACTTTTGAGCCTGGAGCTTCACGGGATGCCAGAATCAGCGAAATGCATCCCATTCTTGCACCAAATGCACTATCTGGTTATGTGAACAGGGATTCTCGATCAGTCTCTTCACGATATTTATTTGCTGGTCCTTCAATCTATTATAGATAAGGCCCTGCTTGAGAAAATTCAAGAATGAAGGGCGTACTATGTTGCCTTCTTGGTATTGAAGTTGTAGGTTGTTTACAATTTGTTTAAGTTCCATTTGGAGGTTCTGCTTGGTATGATTTTGTGCTGCAACGAATTATCACTCAGCATCTATGTTATAAAATTGGTTTGAAAATGTTAATGCGATTCTCCCGTCTGAGAAGAACATTTGTCAGTTAGAGCACTTGAAATTCTAATCTGTGATGTATGGTTTTTGTCTCTCTATTTGTGTTTGTTTTGATGTTTTGAACTAAGTGCTGTGAGTTCCCAGTTTTAGCGGAAGTTCCATTCATGAATTTTATTGGGTTTTTCCGTTTTGTGATTTTGAGTATAGAGTTTTAGGTTACCATTTGTTTTTCAGAAAAAAATTGAAGTCTCCAAACTATTTTGTGTATGATCAATATAATCTTATAATATCACACAGTTTTAGTTTGGTCTCTCGAATATATAAAATTGATTCAAAATAGTATCTTGTGTTAGTCAATTTTATTAAATTGATCAATCTAATGCCAAAGTATTTTAGAATAGTTTTGTATGGTTATGAGACTAAGGTTTCGTTTGTGATGGTTTTCTTTTTACTTCTTAAAGTAATTTTTTAGTATAAAATTTATACTAGAAAGTTGTTTTAAGAAAGTAGAAAGAAAGCCGTTCCAAACGAAGTCTACGGCTTTTTTATTGCTTCTTAAAAAATGGAGATTTAGTATTAAAATTTTTGGAAGTAATAAAAAGGCCGGTCCTCAAATGAAGCCTAAATAGGTGGATTAAAATTGTAGTATATGAATATTTGGAGAATATGAGTTTGGCTCTTTGATGTTATGTTTGAGATAAATTTCATGCCCTGCTTAGTGTCCACTTTAGTTAGAATTTCTCTGTGAGGAGTTTATTTATTTGCTTGCACTGAGCCTCCTTCAAAAATGATTGCAGGAAATCATAATCAATGGGTTCTTTCGCTCTGTCATTAGACATTAACATTAGTAGAGTCTATGTTTTCTATTTGTAGATTTTCCCTTCAAAAATGTTATTAAGTTTGTTCAATATTTTTCTGTATCTGTTCAGCCAAATTATGTGATATAAGCATCCAATAAAAGGATTTGATGATGCTCAATCTTTGGTTAAAATTGTCAATTCTCTTCGGAATTGTGGAGTCTATGGGCAGCTTTCTTAGTTTTGGGGGTTTTTTTTTCTTGTTGTTGGATATTTAGATCACTTTAACTCAAATTTATACACATTAAATACATAAGATTCAAATTTTAAAAAATATTTTCATAAGCAGTTAGAACTCTCAAACAAATAAATAGATAAAAACGAATTCAGTGAAATTCCTTTGTCTTTGCCATTTTCATTTCCCTTTCACTTCATTGCTTTCAATTGCTTCAAACCAAACAGACTTGGACAAAGGCTAATATTCTTCTATTTACATGAACCAATTTTTGAACTGGCCAAAAAATTACACATGGAAGCCAACAAAACAGCTTTTTAGTTCAAAAATTTATCGAATTACATTAAAAAGCAATCTCAAACAAAATTTGAATTTCTATCCCCAATATAGCTGCTATTTTACTCTTAGGAGCAATAGAAAATTCTTAAAAAAATAATAAAGCAAAAGGAATACAACACTGCAACAGTTTTACTACCAATGGATCACAAAAGTTGATAAACATGTAAGAATTATGCTCTGAGCCTGCATTAGATCAAAAAGAAAGAAAGAAAGAAAAAGTAGTTCAATCACAGAAGGGGACAAACACTATACAATAGAAACACCATATTTATGGCCTTGACATCTCATAAATTACATTAGGATTCCTTTGAATATATAAGCAAACAGGACAATATAACCCAAAAAAAAGGAATAAATACAATTTTTTTACAGGGAGGAACTCTTTTCCATCTTTACAGTCAAGCAAAACTGTTCAGTGTGACATCTTAACTTGATTCAGGAAGAGTTGGTGTCTGCAGATAAAAATAATGAAAATAAGAATGGAATTTGCAAATATTTCCCAAATAATTTCAAAGCATCATATTTCATGCAAATCTAAATTACTATTAAAAAGACCTTCAAAATTTCACTCCAAGAAAATCTCACAACTCTATCTTACAAAAAGAATCAGTCTCATTTTAAGAAAAAACATTAAAAAAACATATTAAATTGGGAAAATTATCCTAAATTGATAAAGAAAGCTATTATTCACTAGCTATTACAAGAAAATTAACTGCATTAGTTTTTTTAATTTCAATAATATATATATATATATATATATATATATATATATATGCTTTTTCAATTCCATTTCCATCATTTTTGAACAATTTTTTTTTTTATAAATTACTATTTAATATAAACCTAATTAATCAAAAGAATTTTTATTTTTTGTTCAAAATTTTTTACAAAACATATTTTTAATATCCTCAAAAATAAGATCAATGGCACAAACATGATATTGCATGAAACAAAAATAATATGAAAATATTGTAAAATCCCTTATTATTTCTCACATGACAATACTTTAAGTGCATATAATCCCAACATGTACTTTCATATAATATTATCTTCTCTTGCCATATAATAATTTATAAAGACTGAGAGAAAGAAAGGATTTGGAATGAGGTTCAAGGTTAATTTGTTAAAGATACCTCTCATATTCCAGCTTCTGAACAACAATGCCATTGAGTAAAAGCTCTGAGCTGAAAGCAGCTGCTCCTGCTTGAAGCCAGATTTATGCAGTGAGCTATGGGTTTTCTTTTTAACAACAATATATTTCCTGAGATAGTAGAGAGTATAAAAAGAATGATTACCTTTCTCAAGGAGAGGTTCACAAACTGCAAAATCTTCTTCACCAGTGAGAATCAGAAGATTGTCAGGTTGTTTATCTTCTTCAGTCATGGACAGCTCGATTCTCTTTAATGGCTGCCAAAAAAAATCATTAAATAAGATTAATAATAATATCAACTAAGCAAGTCAGGGGAAGCAGGCTAGTGTAGCCAATGTCAACCAAAACTTCAATGAAGATGACCGGATCATGCTCCTTAGGGTTTACATAGTAAAATATCAAGGTAAAGACTGCATAACCTCTCCTGGTACTAGTATTTTTATGCAATATTGCAAGTATTTTTTTATTAATATCAAGAAATAAACAGTAGTTTTATTAAAAATATATATTTTTTTTCAAACAAAACCCATCATAAACTCAAACTATTTAACCACAAAGACTTCAAATATTAAGAATTAATGCATATTGATTAAGATTACTGTTAAATTAGAAACTTTGATATTGTCTACAAAAGCTGTTACTAGAATAGTTATGGTATAAGAATGTGTTGGGCGGCAATGATGTCTCTTTGAAATAAATTAAGTGGAAAAAATAAAAATTCTCAGATGGTGTGATACATCTAAAAAGACTCAAATATATATATATATACTCAAGTGATTTGTTAATGTGCAAAGCAAGGTAGAGGATAATACGACTGAATGTAGGTTCTTATTAACGTATCACACAGGGCACCATAATAGAGAGCAGAAACTATCATACGTTCCATCGAAAAAATTAGTCTCTATATTGGAATATAGGGTACAATGATTTAATGTAAGATACACTAAAATCATCGGGCACTACATTATAAGAAATGTAAGCTATCCTCATTGTTGTTCTCAAGTTCCTGAAAAAACAATTATGTGTATCTGCAATCCATGTTGAACTGGTTCTTTAGCCATTTAACCATGATATGAATAGGGAGTCCTTTTGAGTAGCTAGATCATTGAATATTAAGGAATAGAAAAAGAAAATTCACTTTGGATGTGAAATTCTTGCTTTGTTTCAAATGTAAATCGTGAAGAAGAATGTAAGAAATTATATCATGATTCAATCCTTATTTATTTTATCTTCAAATAATCATCATCATTATTAGCTTTAAACCCAACTATTTGGGTTGGCCTTATTAATTCTCAATTTTCATTCATTCTTATTGAGTGTTTTCTATGGAGTTAAATCTATTATTTACAAATAATTTTGAAAGATCCGTATTAAATTAAGTACCCCTCTCATTTCTAACATTCGATGCTAATTTATCTACTTGTCTAATGGGTGATTCATTTTCAACAATTTATTGTAAATCAACAAACTTAAAGTCTATTTCCAATTATCTTATTGTTAATAGAATTCACTTTAATTGTTCATCTAACATAACCAATTTCTTAATTTGTTCTTCATAATGCTATCACACATTTATCTTAATATTACTATTTTTCTCACGCTCAAAATGAATATTGACAATTTTTTTACAACAAAATTCAATTCACACAACGTGTTAACGTAATTGCAATTTTATAAAATTTTCCTCAAAGCCTATATCTTCTTATAATATATCACTTATGAGACAATCCAATAACTATAAAGCACTAACACAAAAATTTATATTTTCACATATAAACCCATTCTTCTATACATAAATCTAAGACATTTAAGCCTATCATACTTATAAATCATTTTACCTTCTAGCAATAATAATTGATTAAAATTAATATAAATTTTGGGTCTTTTAATTTTGGAGGATGATCGATAAGATGAGGATCTTTCCCTTTCCTCTTAAAAAGGCCTTTCACAATTTATGACAATTTCAGATAATTTCATGCATTCAGGTGATATGAGGCTTGCAGCCCCTGAAATTCTTTTTTAATTTCATTTTTAACATTCATGACTGTCAACTCCTTTGAAGGGAAGTAAAAAAAAAAGTTATAATGAAGAAAATGAAAAATCTCGATAAGAAGGGAGGATGAAAAAAGAACAAGGTTGGAAGACAAAAACCTTAACCTCACTCCAAAACCATGTAAAAAAAATTGAACAAAAATATTTCTTTGAATTCTATTGCTTGATTTTGTACAAAATATGAAAAAATTTCGAATTTTCAATAAGCTTACAATAAAAATAAATCAAATGCAAAGCTATTAAAAAAAGAAAAAATGTCCCCAAGAGGAGGGGCCAATGGCTAGAATAAGAAGAGGAGGCATATGGATTGCAATCTAAGGGTTATTAGAGGATCCATCTAATGGTTAAAACCCTTAATATGTGTGTTCAATAATTCCTGTCAAGATTGGTTGACTAATGTGCCTTATGATCCTTCAACAACTGCGACATTTTCTCTTCTTATGGATTACAAAAATACCCATGTTTCTTTGATGTTAGGTTCATTTGAAACTGAGACTGGAACCCAAATCCAAAAGGAGAATTACAAACACCAATCCAACATCTCATTTGAATGGAAAGAGCTTTCTTAAATGGTCACAATTGGTTTGCACATTCTTAAAGGGTAGATGGAAATTGGGCCATTTATTTGATTCCGGACCTTAGCAAGTCGATCCCACATTCAATACTTGGAATGAACCTTATAACTCTACGATGATATTCTAATTGTCAGACTCCATGAATCTTGAAATAAGCGACACATCGATATCAAAGAAGGATACAAGCTTGAAAGCATCATATTCATGGAGAAGAATATCTATTTTTGGTTATGCTTTTATAAGCTTTATCAAGCAAGAATAAATGAAATTGCCTTCCAAAAGTTTGGATTGCAACAAAAGAATGATTTCATTATATTCGATCCCTCCACCTTCCCTAATGACAATTTTTCCTTTCATCTCTCCTCAAATTCATCCATTTCAATTTTTGGCCAACACTCTCTCCATTTAATCAATGTCTAGATTAAGGAGTTGTATCAATGAAGTTTTATCGGAGGTAATTTTAAATTTTAAATTAAACAATACTCTCTCTCTCTCTCTCTCTCTCTCTCTCTCTTGAGGCAAGGCTCAAATTAAGGAGTTGCATATGTAGAAAGAGGGCATGATTTGTATGCAAAACAAATTGAATAATAAAAAATCCGGAGAGGAAGATGAGCTCAACCACAGGCTTATGATGCCATAATGAACTTATTATACAGTAAAATACCTGACCACCAGCTACCTTAACTAAGCTGGAAATAAGCTCTTGGTTAGGTCTTGCATTTCGTGTGATAAACACCCTTTTACCCTGCAATTACAAAGAGAGCATAATGCTCCAATTATATTTATCACTATGATGCAGTCAGTTATGTTAAAGAGATGCAAGATATAAAAACCACCTGCAGCAGTGGATGCTGGCAAGCACGTGCGAGCGAAACAGGCATGCTGAAACCAATCTCCTTTTCCTTCCTTACATCTCTCAAGATGTAGTTCTTTTCATCAATAAAGGAGCTTACCTGTCCACAGCTTTCAAGCCACATAGGCGTTACCACTGGTTTACCCATAGCCATCGCCTCTAACATGTTTCTAGTTCGCACAAATTTATCAGCAACAAAATGTGTTGCTTCTATACTGGAGGAGACATCCTGAATTCCTAACCGTTTCAATATCTAAAACAAAAGATCAAGTCAAAATCATTAATATGTGTGGTTTAATAAAAATGCTGGTTCAATAATTCACAAGCGAAAGGAATGAGAAAGCACCTTTTTCTGATGATTGATTACATCCTTGCTTAAATGATTGCTGAAACAAACCTGAAAACATGCCATATCTTTTCTTCTTCGTACCTCATTCAACTTTGATGGCGATGCATAAGAAGCTTCCAACCGGATAAGTTCCCTAGAAATAGGAGATCCTGACAAAGATTTACGGAACGATATTCTTGAGCTATCATGAGGGTTACAAACAGGTGAAGCTACATTTCCACCGGCTGCAGGTGAACATGGTAAACCAGATTGACTGATTGCATTAGCTGACCCATCAGGTTTGGTATCTTCTTTTACAACTTCTGCAAGCAATCTAGATCGAACACTTTCTTTAGATGTTTCAAGGTTATGATTATTAACAACTTGCTTTACAGAAGAAACCGAACACGTGTTAGAGGTTCCATCAGAAGCAGCTTTGCAAGAGAGTTGATCCTTAAAACGGGCATCATTAGCAAAATAAGGCTTCAAAATATCTGAAAGCAAAGATGGCCTTGTCCTGAAGCCAGATTCATTTCTCATCTTTCCAAAATTAGAAGTAATGCCATCAGACTCGAACTTGCTGCTTGAAGAAACTGACCGCTTCCTTCGCTTTACTGTATCTAAAATTTCAGCAAAACTTCTGATAAATACTTTACGCTTTTTCATCTGAATAGTGGGCTTTGGATCTGTTGGAGCAATAACATCTAATGATTTTGAATGATTATTCATTTTCCTAACGCTTTTTTTATTTTCTGTATCAATGTTTTTCATTTTCCTTCTTTTAGATTCGCTGTATGCATCTCTGTCATGAAATGGTGCTGTTTCTTCAACATGCTCTCTCTCCACCTCAACTGCATCGGCAAGACCGCTGAATCCACAGGCACTTTGGATTGTTACATTCAAGCTTAAATTTCGACCATTTTTATTGATTTTTGGTACTACTGATGTATTTGAAACAAATTCATCCTTCATCTCAAGTGTTCTATGGGAGCGCAAATTCATCCTGCTTGTATCTTTGCCAGGGCCATTAGATAATGTTTTATTGAGGTTCAACAGCTCAGTTGCTTTTGAACGTCTAGTACGATGTGCAACAGGTGATGTATATTTCTCACTAGTGCCAACAGCGCAATTTACACCAACTGAAGGCTGTTTACAGAGTGTCACTGGAACAGGAGACTTTTCAAGCTCTTTATCTACCATATTCTTCATTATCTCAGCATATTCTCCATTGTTGACCGAAATCTGTCCTTTATGGTTTTCATTTGATTTCTTCACTGTTATCTTTGCAGTTATTTCAGTTGTAAGATCCTCGAAAACCATCTTTGTTCTCAACTTAGTGGATTGTTTTGAAGAGGAATTGCAGCTTTTTGTTCTTGATTTGGTGATGTTGCTTTGCCGTTTGGAACGTGTTATAATTCCTTCAGATTCATTAATCTTCTTCCTTGTAGGAGCATTTCTTGAACAAGTTCTGTTAGTTTTTTTAATTTTTATCGAAGTGCTAGTAACCTGTCCATGTTTTGATTGTGGATTAGTCGGTTCAAAATGAACAGGAGATGAATGACCCAAGGCCTGTATTGCTTCAACTGCCATTTGAGTGTCAGGACCAAAATTATAAACACCTTCATCACTTACATGAATATCAGATTTCTCCAATTGTTCCATTGTTTCTCTATTTGTTTGCTCTTTCAAGTCATTAAAAAGGTCCTTTGATTTAGTACTGCTCTTGTTATCAACACCATTGATCATCTCGGAACCTCTAAGTATAGCCTCTGAAGGGAGTCTGCGTGATACTTGTTTACTCCCTTTGCACTCAAAGAAGGAGTTTTTTCTTCTGCTGAATAATTCACCTCCTCCTTCATCCTCAATGGCGTCAATCCAGTCATATACGTGAACTTTTTCTGTGCTTTTATCAGATTTCCTCACAAGACACTGAGCCCTTTTCACACTAGCAATAGGAAGTGATAGAACTGTCTCCATATTCTCATTGTTAATGTCTGGAGATAATCTCTCACTATTTAATGAAAGGAACTTGTCCACAACACCTAATGCAATGGCTTGGGACTGAACACCAGGCTCTTGGGATGAAATATAGCTCAAACCTGCAGCAGCTATATTGCATCTTTGTGGAGATTGGGACAACAAAATTTCTTTATTTAATTCTGATCTAAGTTCAGTTTCTTCCTCCTGATACAGAGTCTTTCCACTGTAGCCCTCTATGAACCTGGATGAGTTCTCAGCTTCATGGTCCAAAGCAATTTCATCCTTGTTTGTGCCTACAGTATTCAGATTTGATTCACTGCAAGGAATTGTCTCCATCCAGCTAGCCTTCATTAAAGTATGACCTTCAACTTTCTCATGATTATGTGTATTAAAGTTCTCGTCAGCCAGAGTAGATGATTCCAACTTCTTGCCAATTGGAACACAAGCCACATTTGCAAAACCAGAAGATTGCAAAGCTGCTATGGGAGTAGCAACAAAGTTCTTCCTTGAGCATTCTATAAAAGATGCCGATGCAAACCAGCAAAAAAGAAATGAGTATCACGAAGTAAATGATTAAAGCCGCTGAGTTTCTAAACAAGCGACCGTATGAAAAATACCAGAAAGTGAATAAATATAGAGAAAAAAATTACCATCACAAAAGAATACAAGGATAAAATTAAGAATGATCATATTAGACCGGAGTGATATTTATTGAAGATAAGATAATTGAAAATAAATTTAGTTGATTTGAACATTACAACAAATGATATAAAATGTACTTGATTAAAGCCAACAATTTTACAAACAAGCTAAACTAGGAAAATCCAAAAAGTGAATAAATATAGAGAAATACATTTACCATTATTAAGGAAATATACAAAGATAATTTTAGGTATCATTGCTTTGGATTAATGAATCAGGTGCATCTATTGAAGGTGAGATAGAAAAAATAGACTTATATGATTTGAATATGTACAACAAATGATGGAAATATATCTATTAGACGAGTAGATAATTGACATTCGCTTATTATTAATGAGAGTGTGGCTTGGCCGCCTCTAACATTCTCTGTCGCTACTTTGAGCATTAACTATTCTAACTCCCGTTGATGAGCCATATATCAAAAAGGAAGCATCACAGAGGTTCCTCTACCTCGACGATCAACAATGCATTAGACTCAAACCACCAACACCCTTTTGATGGAAATTATCAAGGCTCGACCTCCCCCAGGTTACAAATGCTTGTCTTGGACTCCTATTGAGGGAATTCAAATCCAACCTATAGTGTCGCCTGATTTGAATCAACAATCTCAATTCTCAATGTTAGTCATGTGATGAAGTTTATGCTTCTCTTCACCACCCATTAATGAGGCACTAGCACGATGTTTTTTACTTTTTTTGCATTTTTTTACTGGGGAACATTACTTCTTAGAATTTAAGCAATAGTTCATCATGCAGTTTGTTGATGCAAAAAATCTATTGAAGAACTCCCAGGCCTATTAAACATGAGGCTAGAACCTAAAAAATCATTTTGTAGCTTTATTGCCCATTTATAATGCAAGCTGCTAGATATTCAAAACTTGTAGCCAGTCATTGCCCAAGAAGCATTAACTTAGGGCCTCCAAAGGAGTTCTTTTAAAGACACACTCAGTTTACAGTAGTTAAAAAATTAGTAGAATTGTTCTTAACTTCTAAGCCTCCTAAGAATCACATAAATATTAAATAGTACAATCATGCAACCTCAACTTCTTCCTCCAAGCCAAGCAACACCAATCTAACATGAAATTCTCAATAGCCTCAAAATCAGCAAGGTAGGCCACATGACAACCATGACATGTTGACCAAAAAGCGACATTGTCATCACAATCAACACTGCCATCTACAAAAGCGCCAACATGTAGGAGTTCCCTAAGAGATGAGAAAGAAGCATTTCAGTCTACAATCCCTTAAAAAGAGAGAATTTGCCTTCACAACATAGTCATCCGACTTAAACACTTCTTCATGTATTGCTTGCAAAAATCCTAGAGGAATACACATCAAGGAGTACTTCGGTCAAACACTACAAATATACAAATTTGATAAACATCTATCCAAACATAAATAGACTTGGCTTCTCTGAGTTAAATGCAAGACCAAGGGTTCTAGATGTAGCACTAACCCTTAGAATGCAATACATACAAAAGTACTAAGGAAATCCTAGTCAAATGGTGACATGAGGATGATTATAAGGACCATGTGATTTGTCACACAAATGTGATATTTAATGCCATGAAATAAAAAACCTAAGATTTGACAAGAGAGTTTGAGAGTTCAAAGCTCACAATCCAATGATATGGCTATCATAAATGTTGTTCTTGCAAGGTAGGGTATAAACCACGTATTAGTATCATGAATATATCAATCAACTTGTTAGTCTAATAAAGTGTGGTAAAGAGAGCTAGCCAATGGACAAGCAATGTGTGCTAAACGTGTTCCTAATTAAATTTTCAAATATCATGATATTCTTGAAGAGAATATCATGATATTTATACACTAATGATATGACCAACAAGAATTTTTTGTTCACCCTAGGGCATGTCCAAGTCAGCTTAGGTCAACTAAGTGGGTTGACTTGGGGATAGCTAGAAAAAAATAATCTATGCATCCTAATGTTTCTAATGACTTAAACTTATGAAATATAATCTAATCTCATTGATCCAAAATTAAATCAAATTACTGTAATAATTTCATAACTTTTCCCATTTACAAAAGTCTCTAAACATAATACAATACCTTGCTCATATTTGTGAGTATATCAGCATATTCTTCGGAATATATAAAATTGTTACATAAATCTCCAAAGGCTTTCAAAATGACTTGATCATCATGGCCTTATTTTTCTATATCATGGATTCTAACTTGAAAATTCGATCATTTTTAAACTCTTTATTTTAATAAAGTATCCAATTCGGTTAACCGAGCTTGAGTAGTCATTAATGAATAAACTAAACTCTTCCAACTAGGATTAGATATTAATTTATTTATAGAACATTGAAATTTAGAAACCTTCTTAAATATATGCTCGAACTTCGACTCAATTTTCCATCCGCACTAAGACTTCTTGACAAAAAAGTTATATTTGATTGGACACCATAACATGCAAATATTCCTTCATGAAAGACTTATTCATCAATGTCGGCTTCAATATAAGTTCCTAAGAAATCACTTAACTCCTTTTCTTCATTTACAACTTCAAATTCTTTAACTTTATTTAAGTATTTTCCAAGCATTCTTTTGTGTTCTTTGGCTTGATAAAAAGTTGACTTCTAACGTTAAACTCTTTATGCATTATTGTCATATGCAAGTCTCAAACACTGATGAAAAAATTAGAGCGGCCAATATCATATATGCTAGAATTTAGCTTGTTTCTCGACAAAAAGAATCAACATTTAAATTGGCAACTCTAAATTCGAATCCTTTCTTCGAGTCAAAAAAGAAGAGAAGTCATCTTCATCCCAATAATGCAACCTAACAGAGTGGAAAGGGTGAAGAAAGGGTTCTCTTCCTTTTCCCTAGTATGCATTACTATAATTTATCATTCTCTTAGGGGTAAATTGCTATCTTTAAACTCCTAAAGTCATCGAGTTATTGTTGACTTTAACTAGGAGACCAACTAACTTCACTTGAATTGAATAGTTAGCTTTCGAACACAACCCAACCTTAGCGCCATTAGCATCAATTGCTACAATAAAAGTTGCTAGCCGAGTGTTATCAACAAAAACTAGAGGTGGAAAGCATGGTTTTGAAAACCGGACTGCATCGGCCGGTTCGACGGGTTCAATCGTGAACTGGACATATGGCTTTAGATTTTTTTTGTGTTCTAATGCAATCCACATCTCCATCAAGTTTTTCTTTGTAATGTCAATTCTGTAATGATCTTGGTACTTTGCAACATTCAAATTTTTAATATTAAAATTTTACTCGCAGTGAGAGTAAACTAATTTTAAATATAATTCATATTGCAAATAACAGCCTTAAATCCCGAATTACATTGCCAAACAGCTTCATAGGATTTAACACTCATGTTGCCAAATAGTTTTCAGGATTTAACTTTAGCTGGATTTAGTAAATCCTACTTGTTGCCAAACAGCCCCTTAGTTTTAGACATAATTATTGATCCAAAGTAAAAAAGGAAAACAACAATGCTTCAAAGATAAAACCCAACCTGGTTCACCACTGCCGCAACCCCCCTCTTCATCAGTAGATGCATCAGGATCCACCAAGTCCGCATCTTTAGTTCTCACACCTGATCCTACCTCTCCTACAAAATCATCACCCAATCCCTCCTCATCAGTCACCAACTCCGTCCTCTCCGACTGCCCTCCTCCATCTTCCTCTTCATCCCGTACTACCTCAGTCTCCTCAAATTCATCCATCACCTGTGTCTGTCCCCAGTCTTCAAACCCCTCGCCGAATTGTTCATCACCGCTATCCACCCGCTGTGTCTCTCCGCAATCAAGTGGAACGGTTTCACCGGCCATAAAAACGTCGCCGCCTCCTGAACTGATAATGATCAGAAAAAAAAAAAAAAAAAAAACAGGGAGGCAAGAAGCCAAACTTCGAAAGAGGAACCCAATCCAGATATTCAATGAAGCATCAAAAGCCAATCAACAAAGAATTTCCAACACAGTGAAAAGCAGGTACAAGGTCAGAAACAGAGGAAAAACTAAAATAGGTAAACGATAATATAAAAGTACATATAATAATAAATAAAATTGAACTGCAATCTCAGGCAGAGCATAAAGATTGATCTTTATGATAAACAAGCCCTTATCAAGCAATTAATGCCTCAAAAAAATCATAGGATTCTCATGTTTAGGATTCTTATCAATCTTTTAGTAGCAGATGTGATAAGGATGCCTATGCAGTAGTCGCAAGGTAAAAGCATGGTTGCCTTTATTTGTCATATGAGATTATTGAACCAGAGCTCTGTAACATTGATTTATTGTGGAGGATGGAGCTCAAAGTTTAAGCTTAAAGCTGAACTCTTACAAAAGTCCTGATTAATTGTGGACTGTAAGACACTGCCTTCAAGCAGAGCAGCCGCAAAGAAGTTCCATGTATAATAAATTTCCTCATGAGAGTTTGAACGGCTTTATTAAAATGCGATTGCATGATATTTTCTCATTAACATATCGCATGAAGTTTTAATCCTATTGCGTAATAAATGAAACAATTATTAGGGAATTCCATGCCACGACCGCACTCGGAAACTTGGAATATCAAGGTGAGAGTAGATGGTCGAACTAAAATTTAAAACTTCCACTACACATTAAATCA